CAAAGAGGAAGGGAGAGGGAGAGATAGTTAGAAACATCAATGCGAAAGAAACATTGATCAGCTGCCTCTGTACACCCCCTACTGGGGTTGTGCCCGCAACCAAGATACATGGCCTTGACCGAAATTGAACCTGGGACCCTTGAGTCCACAGGTCAACACTCGATCCACTGAGCCAAACCAGTTAGGGCTGTGTTGTAATTATAGTATAGATATGCCTCTGTGTGGGGGGATTTATTTTTGGAGAAATATATATTTAAAATTTGTGAGACTTGTTTCTTCTTGGTCTTTAGTTTCATAATATATATATATGAGAGAGAGAGAGAGAGAGAATATGCAAATTTGTCCCGGAAGCCATAACAGTCACGACTGGACAAATTTGCATATTACCTCTTTATAGGCTGTGTGCGCAGATGGTGGGGAGGGGACTGCTGCTTGGTGAGGAAGGCAATGAGCAGGGCACAGAGAGCAGGGTGGAGCAGGCCCACAGAGAACAGGAAGCAGGGCATGCCAGTCACTGCAGCAAAGATCGGGTCTGCAGAGAGCAGGGCGGAACAGGCCCACAGAGGGAGCAGGAGCCAGGAGGCTGGGGGCGTGCCCAGGCTGCTACCTCCACTGGGAGACAGCGAGGGCCCCAGCAGCCCCACCTCTGCACGTGAGCTGCAGAGGAAACACCTTTTCTTACAGCTCATTGGCTAAGCTCTCTGTATGGCATTGGCAGCATTCTTAATAACTTTGGTAATAAGAATCCAAGAAGGTGCTCTAGGGTTTTCCACCTCACTCCTGGAGGGAAAAACGAAGGTCTGCTGCTGGAGGGGCTAAGAAATGTCATAGCCTGCCCTAGCCGGTTTGGCTCAGTGGATAGAGCCCGGCCTGTGAACCACAGGTTCTGGGTTTGATTTTGATCAAGAGCATGTACCTAGGTTGCAGGCTCCTCCCTGGCCAGGGCACATGTCAGGGCTCATGCAGAAGGCAGCCAATCAAAGTATCCCTCTCACGTTGATGCTTCTCTCTGTCTTTCCCTCTCTCTTCCATGCTCTCTAAAAATCAATGGGAAAATATCCTCAGGTGAAGATAAAAAAAATAAAGAAATAAATGTCATATCCTATGAAAGACATATCTTGAAAATGCCTAAAGAATGTTGTCATTTTTTCATGGTGAAGGGACTGGAATCCATGTTGATGAAAACACCTTGGCGGCCGGCAGTGGCAGCAGCAGTGGGGGGGTGGGGGTGGTGCCTTCCCCTGGTCTGACCACAGAGGGAGGCCAGACTGTAAGGAGAGGGCCTAAGCCATCAGTAGGACATCCCCTGAGGGCTCAGAGACTGTGAGAGGGGGAAGGCTGGGCTGAGAGACCACCCCCCTCCCCCAGTGCACGAATTCCATGCACTGGGCTTCAGTACATTTATGTGATCTCATTCATTCCAGATGCCAATGTCAGTTTATAGTAAACTGATTTTTTTTTTTTGCTCTTTAATGATTATGACAGTAATGTATTAGTAAGAATATGAAGAATGCCAGCTCATCTGGACTTGACTTTATTGAAGTGTTAAGCATCAGGTATTAAGCAATAGATTGCAGGGTTAGAATTGGCTCTTACACAATTACAACACTGGCTACATAAGAAATCAGCTTATTCTTATTGTATGTTATAGCTGGGGTTGTTTTTCTTCCATAGATTATATTGGCAACAGCATTAAATGATATTTTCTTGTTATTTTTGAAAGTTATAAAAATAAAAACAGCTAGAAACACTCAATAAGGAACTTTGAAAAAAGTGTTTTTAATCATAGGTGAGAAGGGCAAGTTATTGACCTACTCGTAATGATCTAACATATTTATAGAAGAATCAAGAAGTGCTAGAAGCAACATGTCTCCATGTGACAACATGACAATCATCTCTGCCACCTCCAAAGCACTCAGAGTTAAAAGGTTCTCAACCTTCCTAATGCTGTGACCCTTTAATACAGTTTCCTCATGTTGTGGTGACCCCCAACCATGAAATTATTTTCGTTGCTACTTCATAACTGTAATTTTGCTACTGTTATGAATTGTAATGTAAATAAATATCTGATATGCAGGATGTATTTTCATTGTTCGCGACCCACAGGTTGAGAACCGCGGGTACATCTCTCCTAATGTGATACTGAAAATCATTGGGGATTGCGACCGCATCCACAGATGTGGGTGATTGATGACAAAAGCTAGTGGCTAATTGTCAGGGGCATAGATGCTAGCTATACCCACTTTGTGAAGATGAAAAATTAAGACCTCTCATTTACATGGTTTGATGGCCCACTAGTGCTGATGAACACAGTCCTAATTTATAGGAAAAACCTACAGAGTAGGACAAGTGAACGCCTGTGCACATTTGTATTTCATTTGTAATGCATGGATCATTTAGATCTCATTTCTCCTTCTAACACAATATTTCTAAGCTTAACTGTATTGTACATTATGAACGTGGTAAACATACCAGGGCTAGTTTATTTCTTTGGAGAAGTAAATATTTAATTATTGAAAAATGCTTGAATATGGATAGTACAGATGATAAAGTTTGCTTGGGGATGTGCATTTAAAATTTCTTCCAAATAAACATGCTTAAGCTTTGAATGTGGCTGATAAATTAAAAATAACTTCTTAAATTTATATAGTATGTAGCTATAAAAACATGTGGGATACTTCATTGATTTCAGATGCTTAAACTTCTTTTTCTTTCAAATATTCCTAAAATATCTCTTATCAAACAGGGAAGAGGAGAACACACCTTGTGAATAGATTAATGAGAGGCTTTTCCTGTTAGCTGTTTTCTATTTAACGGCTGACATTCATAGCATGTGTTTTACCCTGACACTTCTGCCAAATACTTAATATGCAGAATTCAAATCCTCTTTCTTTTGCAAGGTGGTGTGATAGCAGAGATTTTTAGATGTGACTTTGCTGGAATTTACATACACAGATGCTTTCCACTTATTAATTTTTATTCAAATATTGAAGCAGACCAGTGTGCATGTATGAATAAATAGAAGGTGCACTTTGTAAACCTTTTAGGATGGATGTGTGAATTTAAATCAAACTTTAACCTAACCTGTCTTCTGTATCCTGAGGTTAAATCTCAGTATAACAAATATTTGTATTTATCAAAATAAATGTCTATTTGCTTGGTATTACTTCACATTGGCAATTTTTAAAGCTCTGAGCCCTTTAAATTTTGGAATTATTAGCTTTCCAAGTTTTTCATAATGTCATTTTACATATTTTAAAAATGATTGAGACACACTGGTTGAAAATTGCTGGTTTAAACCAATAGTTTTTAGAGTAATTTATATCTTATATAATAATGATCTTAAGATGGTTCAGGAAAATATATTATCAAATATCTAACTTAATGCTATTGGACCATATGTTAACACAGAAAATAAGAGTTAAATATATGTTTTTGCCAAACGGATCACTTTGACAATATGGTTTTTAAAAATTTACAATGAATTTGACAAGTTTAAATTTTTCTAAAATAAAAGTTCTTTCATTTCCCTTCTATTTGCCAACATCTCTCATAGCACAAACAGGTGGGCATTTAACTTCAAATAGAGTTAACATTTGTGGGGAGGATTAAAGCAGTATTCTGGCAGAAGGAGGCTTTGTTGTGGTTAAATCATTCCTGGGAGCTGAATTCAAAACCCATGGGGATTATGATGGGTGTGAAGCTACCCATCAACAGTCTGAGAAGTTACCATGGCAGAGGGCAAGGAGGCACAAATGGCTTTTCAGAATATCAAGTAGACATCCCAAGAAAATCCCACTATGGATTTTCATCAATATTTAGGACTCCCTCCTGTCTTAAATGCTTTCCCCAAAACTAACTGGCTATCTTGAAAACAAAGGTAAACAAATGATTACAAGCTAGAAGGAAGATACACATTCAAAGAAAAATAAAAGGTTAAACAATTAAATTTCAGGAAGTACAAAATTAGGACAGCTCTAGGGGTCTAGAAAAGAGGAACCCATGAGGATTTGTTTAGGTAACTGCTGTTGGGATGTATTCCTTCCATTTAATTTTGCTCTTTGTACTATGTTCTGCAGCATGAAGCAATTGGTTACCTGTTTCCAAACCCAAGCTCTAGGCCAGGGGAAGGAGGGTGGGTGGATCACCTTGATTTACAGAAGCACCAAGGTTGTATATGACAGGGCATATTTGAAAAACTATAGGACCCTTAGCAAAAGGAGGAGATGGGTTTGCTATTCAGGCAAATACGCTAAATGCCCACCTCCCATGTTGCATTTCAGGCATCAGTGAACCAAAATGAACACTCAGACATAAGCCAAATGTATTTTGATAAAAGATCGAGTCTGTTAGTGTCAGCCTTTAGATTGTACTAATAGAGTTTAATATCATTCATGAGGCGGTAGCAGGGAGGAAGCCTTCAATGTTTAGTATAATGAGCGCTAATGAAATTTGGTTTCTGTTAGTCTAAAATGAAGTGAGCTCTGTTTCTAATTTGATCCTTTGTAACCTTAATAGCAAAATCAAATAAAATAATGGAGCGAGGGATGACTATAATATCACAGAGTATCAAGGTCATAACTTGAAACTGTTAATAGAATCAATCAATCCATTAAGAAAGGCTTCTCTAATCTGAAGGCAGTCACGCATGTCTGAGGTAAGTTGTCTATGTCTCAAGTAGCACTATCAACAGAACTCTCTTCATTGATGGAAGTGTTCTATAACTGCATTGTGAAACACTATAGCTGCTAGCCACATGTGACTAATAAGCTCTTAAAGTGTGTCTGATATGACCACAGAAACTAATTTTTAAGTTTATTTCATAGCTAATTTAAATAGCAACAACCAGTACGGACCACAGTTTTAGAGAGCAGATACTTTGAGTATGTACTTTCATCTGGTAATCCAACCAAAAGTAGAGACCCGTATAAGAAACTGTATTTGGTAAGCAATTCAAGAAATATATTAATGGAATAAGAGAAGGATTCTTTCTTTTTTTTTCATAGCCCCACAATCACAATATAGACCAGGCAAAGGACCCAGGTTGGGGTGTATATGCGGTAGGTTTACTCCCCCTCTTTCGGTACAATCAATGTGAAAACACAGCCTTGGTAAGCACCAGGGTGCTAGGAAGGATTATTTATGTCGCTGCTGTGAGGTGCAAACAGATAGATTATACGCAAATAGATTGTGTATACAAATAGATTATACACTAACATGTTTATACAAAAGAATATATTATTGAGGGATACCAATGCTACATCTTGCCTGCTGATTCTTTGGCACTGGATTCTAGAAACTTTTTCACAACTGCTTCCAAAGGCAGGGTGCTTCTGCTCACCTTCACCAGAACAGATTTGACACGTGTTGTATTGTTGTCTCCTGTGAATATGCCACATTTGTGAAACCATGTTGCCTGCCAGACTTGTAGCCATAAGAAAATCTAGGGTGTTGAGTTTCTACATTTTATTGGGACATACAGAATCATAGGTAAATTTACAAGGGAGCTAAGTTCTCCTCAAATCACTAATGTTTACAAACATCAGAATGAGTAAAACTTCATCTCAGTATCAGTCATCATATCCTGAGAAACATTCCTGCAGAATGCCCCTTTTATGTAACCAAAGTTCAATTATATGTGCTTGGTAAAAAGTAAAAGTAGTGGGAGATGAAAAAAACACATAATTGGTTGACAACTGTGCCTGCCATTCTAGTCAATAAGTGTATGGCCTGGAGTGATTCGTGATATAAATCCACTATTATCTTCTTCGATGCCTGTTTCCCATAGCTCTCAATGTGAAATATCTTGCAACTTTAATTAGGAGTAGGGTTTACAGATATATATTCTACTTAGTTCCTATAGAAGAGATAAATACTCACAGAAATTTGATTTCTTATATACAGAAATTTCATTTATCTTCAAATTATTTGGTTGATTGAGAGAAATGATGAATTTGTCATTTCTGCAGGCTCAAATGATCCAGATAATCTGAGGAATTAAAATTAATGAGTATTTCCACACAAGTCTTAAAAGTTTTCATCTTTTCCCAGCCAGACTCTTGTCCTTGGTATAGCTGTCTCGCTAGGTTTCAAATGTAAACTTCTTTGGTTTTCTAGAGTTTTGAGATTAAATCTTAGTTCTGATTTTTAACTTTCTCTGCTTTGTGGCTGCAGGAGATGAGCTCTTCTTCATATGCTATCAGGAGACTATCACACATAGTCCTTAGGCTAAATCATCCTCAGCCCATCATGGTGTGTCTCAAAGCATGGATTGCCCTGAGCAAGAACTATCTCATTTTCCTTGGTCTTTTAATTTCTATGCTCATATAATTCCCAAACACTTGATACAATCCACCTTATAGAGCATTTTCTTCCATTACTGCCCTATCTCAGTTCACTGCCACTGAGAAAAATGTTATACTCATCAACCACCGTGTTTCACAGGTTCCGGTGATGGCTTCGTCATTGCCTGCAAGGCAGCACACATTCCAGCGACAGAATCTCATCTTCATGTCAGTTTTCTCTGGTCATTTGTGGAACTATTAATTGTGACTGGGTTCCCCATAAAGCAGACTGTAATGGAGACTAACTTAGAGTGTATGAGGAAGTTCTTGCAGGACCAATACTCATTAGTCTATATCTGACTGTCTTGTTTATTTTTGTTATGTTGTCTTTTCTCCTCATGTACCTGGTGTGTGTGTGTGTGTGTGTGTGTGTGTGTGTGTGTGTGTGTGTGTGTGTGAAAGAGAGAGAAGTAAAACTATTGCAGAGAGAATTTGAGACTTTGGGCGATGCTGTTTTTCTACACAGGAATTTTACATTTGCTTCTGCTAGGAAAATAAGGATAGTAACCACTAGGATCACAACAATCCAATTTCTGGAATTGACAGAATTAGGAGCTGAGCTGCAAATTGTTTGCAGGGCTGTATACCTACGCTTCATTCTACCTTGTGGGTGAAAACTTTCAGATTCACAGCCGAAAGTAAAGAGTTCGTCATTTCCTGTTTATCAGGCCATGGGCTGCAATTTTTCTCCCTAGATCCACAAATATGGTAAATATTTCACTTTACCCTTTTAACCTCTCAGTGGCCCACTGTGGAATCTGGAAATGTCCGCGGGATGGAGTCATACCCAAATGCTCAGCTCACCTCCCAGGACTGCTGGCCTACCTGTCACTCCCCAAATCCAGGTCTTATAATTTTTTCACTAGTTTGTTACTCTGCGATGCCTTCAGGCAGACTTTTTAAATATCTTATCCAGCTTCCCTAATAATTCTCAGAAGATAGGTTTATGCAAATTACTTACTTCACCATTAACCAAAGTCCAAGTTGGTATCTTTCAAAGTACATTTACATAGTAATTGACCTTCAGGGCACTAATCTTAAGAATTTTTGGCTGGGAATGTGCTGTACTTATTATCATACAGCTTATAATGCCATAATGCAGATGTGAAGAAATGCAAATTCCAAAGATAACAATCTACACTACTAGTATACATACTAAAATTTATCTGGGTATGTGGGTATTTGTTTAAAAGCCATCAAACCAGAAAAGAAATATTTTGTGAATCGCACATCTTACATGTATGAAAGGTAACTGTGATATAGCTATAAGTTGCTTTAGAAAAGTAAATTGTATTTGAGTAGTTGAAATTTTGAAGAAGTCCAAAGCAAATTAAAAAAAAGAGATGAGCCGAAACCGGTTTGGCTCAGTGGATAGAGCGTCAGCCTGCGGACTGAGAGGTCCCGGGTTCGATTCCGGTCAAGGGCATGTACCTGGGTTGCGGGCACATCCCCGGTGGGGAGTGTGCAAGAGGCGGCTGATCGATGTTTCTCTCTCATCGATGTTTCTAACTCTCTCTATCTCTCTCCTTTCCTCTCTGTGAAAAATCAATAAAATATATATTTAAAAAAAAAAAAAGAGATGATAGGGAACTATCACTCTAATGTCATGTTTTTTCTCTGTAAGAAAGAGATATGGTTCTCCCTCTAGATTATGCTGAAGAGTATTGTCCCTGGGAATCAAATAGAGAAAATATTATCAGTGGCATTTCTGTATTTCTTTTGTGAATAGAATAAAAAAAAAAAGTACTTTTCTGACTTAAGGACACATGTTTGCTTTCAACTTGTCCCTCTTACCTAACTCCTCAAGTACCGCCATTAAAAAGAAAATTAAGATACAAATCAAGAAAGATGCATTTCAGTTGTATGTCATAGGAAAGAAAAGATCAATGAAAGTATGATCTTTGAGGGAGAACAATACAAGGAGGAAAATATACAAGCTGTTCATTTAACTTCCTTGGTATTTGCTGATTCCTGTTTGGTGTAGTTCCAGAGAGGTTGAATAATATAAATACTAGAAAGATGCAAAGATTTAGAAAATAATATCATAAATGTATCATAGCATGGAGAGGTGGAATCTTCATACTTATCTAAGGCAGTGGTCAGCAAACTGTGGCTCACGAGCCACATGCGGCTCTTTGGCCTCTTGAGTGTGGCTCTTCCACAAAATACCGACTACTGCGCATGGGCCACAAAGTTTCAATTGCGCTGTACGTGCGCGCCCGCATGTGGTATTTTTTGGAAGAGCCACACTCAAGGGGCCAAAGAGCCGCATGTGGCTCACGAGCCGCAGTTTGCTGACTAAGGATCTAAGGCATTTACCCATTAGTCCATATGCATTTATCTATATGATTAACAAACATATGCTATTCATGTGACCTTTTCTTTGTGATTCCTAGATGTCCATTACCTTTTTTCATTTAAGTAAGATTTTATAGAATTAACTTCCTCAGCTCAACTTTAACAAATATTTATTAGGCATGTATATCTGTTCAACAGACAAGTTTTATAAAATAAACAGGGTCATAAAACTTGGTTTTAATTCAAAATGCAGTTCATGGCACAAAACCAGCCAATCAATAACAGAAGTCATTCAGTCTTCACAACAGCCGTCAACATCATCATCATCATCATCATTACTTGCTGGGTAGTGATTTTAGTGTAATGAGTCATATGACATGACCTCTTTCATTGAATGGAAGAGGGAAGTGTGCCCATGTTTGCAATATTTAGGGCAGGGATAGATGCAGTCTGACCAATGTGAGAAGCTAAATGAGGGTATTCAGTGGTCTTGATGGAGGGAAACTCTAGAGCAGTGGTTCTCAACCTTGGCTGCACATTAGAATCACCTGGCAATCTTTTTAAAATCCTGATTTCTGGGCCTCATCCTCCGGACATTCTGTTTCTTTGTTACTAATGTTGTGGCCCCACCCCATAACATGGCTTTCGAATGACCCTTTCACAGGGGTTGCCTAAGACCATGCTGCATATCAGATATTTACATTACGATTCATAACAGTAGCAACATTACAGTTATGAAGTAGCAATGAAAATAATTTTATGGTTGGGTCACAACATGAGGAACTGCATTTAAAGGGCCAGAAGGTTGAGAACCACTGGTAGAGGAGGGAAAGAGCTTTTCAAAATTACAAGGTTATTTGCCAGTATACCTTGAGCAGGAAACTTCAAGCAGTTTAGAGCTGCATGGGTATTAATCACTTCCAGACTTACGTGACATGTGTTTGGATTGTTGACAAGGGCAAGATCAGGAAAGGTTGGATATGCCATGAAAGGCCCCCTGGCTTGCTGTTATAGGGAATGATGAGGAATCAGGAGATTTTGAAGGAATGGTTTATCTCTGCCAAAACTGGAAGAGGAAGAAAATGAGAAATTAATCTGAGTTAGATTCCAATTATTTGAGATATAGGGTACTCTTCATTCATCCATATTCATTCATTTTTCAGAGTGGTCCTTCAGGCTCATCCACTTCTTCATTGTTTCACAAAGCTGCTCAGGCCCTCTGGAGCCCCCTACTGTAAACACACAGAATATGACCTCAGCCTGTAGCTCCATTCCTAAATTTGTTGTTTCATTTAGTTTCCATGTTGGCAAGTATAGTTTTCTCGCATAGATTATAATATCTCTGAGGGTTACATCTTTAATAAATAAAGTAATAGAATAATAGAGGTAGGTAAGGCCTTAGAACTCTCATAGTTCTTTTTATTCATTTAATAGTGAGCTGGTTCTTTAGGAGTGTCCACATACTTATGTGTAATTCTTTATTGGA